ACTGGTATTTCAAATTTAAATGGCCAAGGCTTAGACCTGTAGGATGGGCCACTCTCATCTGAGATTGGGGAGGAGAGCAGGACTGTGTCACATCCAGATGAGACGCTTGCTTCTGATGAAAGTGGAACTGGAGATTCGACATCAGATGTGTCCAGAGGCGTGAGACTCAAGATCACTGGCTCAGTTTTGACTACTTTGAGGTTCGCTTTATCTTGTACTTCTTCAATCGAGGTCAAAGTAAAGAACTGACCGTCGAAATCCATGTCCTGGTACATAACAGTGAATGGTCCTGTGATATCAAATGTTTCTCGAAGCACATCAGTAAGGTCCTGGACTGTGCTGGGGATGCCTGCAGGTAAAACTACTTTGCGGACATCATCCTCGCCAAAAATGATCCGCAATCTCGCAGAGGATGCCATGTCAACAGGAAGAAGCTGCATAACACAAAGAAATGTATTCACAAGCTTCATACTTAAAAGCAACAACAAGTAAATGCAACGACAAGTAAATGAAAGAGGTCCACATTGAGTGACCGCCTCTACATGGTGTCGAGACAAATGGGTTTGAAGGACATTAAATGTTTTAAATGAGCAAGGACAACCACTGTAAAGACAAGGGACTGATTGGCTACAACCACCACTTCCATGTTTTAGCCTGTAGTGTTTCAATAATCCCAACCTCTTCTCTGACTCAAAACTACATATCTTACACTTCCATCTCATCTTGTCACCTGAAACATTAATGCAACATCTCAAAATTAAACCCAAATAACCAAGGAATTATGACGTAAACCTAAACATTACTAATTAGATCTTACCTTGTGTCAGCTTTGGAGTCCAAATCAGCAGTCAGAAAGTCCAATGTTCTGCATAAAAAAAAAAATATATAAATCTATATGATTTTAACTAATTTCAATCAAATCATGAATTCACACTGATATTGATAAAAACATTAAAACGTACATATAATGTATTACAAATTATGTTTCCCTCTCTCTCTCTCTCTCTGTCTTTCTCTCTCTCTCAAAGTCATTCATATTCAATAACAAGGGGCTACACATAGACCAATAAATTTCTCCAGAAATTACGACTCCAACAGTGGCATACTATATAGTGATCGAGGATGTCCCGTGCGCATTTAGACAGGTTGATGTGAACCGCGTGGTCCAGGTTTAAGATTTGTGAACTTTTCAGTCAATAAAATGACACCACACTTCAGGAGTAATGGAGATATCGCACACGCACAGATCACCAATAAGAGCATGTGTAAAAGCCTCTTTCAGCAAGTGTCTGCATTAAGGATGGCGAAAACTAAACATTTTCTTAATCGACCACCGAGCCTCATTAACCGGTTAATACTGGTTAACCGCATACTAGAATACTAGTACAGCCAGGGTTAGGGTTATTTCAATCTGCGCCTGCCCCTCTCTACCTCCTGCTCACAAACACAAGCTGCCCCGGTGCTCCCTTTAAGCTCTGTATCAGACAACTGACATCTGTGTGATCCTTTTTGGTGAAATTAAGATTAATTATGGACGCACAGGGGAAACGTGGTCGCTTTGGGGACGTAAAATCACCCACAACACAGAAAACAGCGGCCAATGACACAAATAACACCTCAGCTCCACCTTTACATTTCTCTGTCAAAACAGCGACACACACACAACTAATTTCATGGCCACAGCCCCATCAGCACAACTTTATATCACCAACATTTCACCAGAAACACTTTTTCCAGCAAAATTTCAACAGTTTAGCATCGACACTTACGGAGTTTGGAGACGACACGTTAAGCTAGTTCTCGTATTAGCTTCTCTTTGCTTTCTCCTCCGCCTTCTCCGTGTTTTGGTTTAGTGTCCGTCACCTTTTCTTATTAAAGCCATAGAAATGCGTCCTGGATCTTCGTGTCACTGACGTTTATCTCCTCAAGTGTTTAGCCTGTAGCTCATCTTTTTTTTTTTTTTTACTGACAGCTTCGACGGGTTAACGCCGACACGGTCAATCACCGGTCAAACGGTCACCGGTTAGCATCCCTTGTGCATGAAACAGTGCATTTACAAGAACAAACAGTCGTCCTTCAGCGTTTTCTTGCGAATTCCTAATACGGACATACCCCATGCTGCCCAAGTTAGCTAGCTTAGCCATTCAGCCACATAGCTAGCAGGAACACTACTTGCTAGCGCCACAACCGTCGATACTTTCACAGTGTTGAAAAGCTAACAGTAGGTGAACCAGCAGGAACATGCAAAATTTGTTTCTCTTAAAACTCACCTTCAGAGGTCGATTTCACGCTCCGGTTTCGTCCATTAACTCTGCAAGTTGAAATGTGAAACATGTTTCACCAAAGACCGCTCAAATGTGTGGGGAGGGGCTTTGAGGTCATGCTCTGATTTACTGATATAATTTATTAGATTTTACTTTGAAATGTCAACTAATTAAGCCAATTAACTTGTTTAGTAAATATTATTTGGATCCAATGATTTAATTTACATACAAAACTAAAGGCCGATAATTACAAACAATCACAAGTAATTCACAACATGAAAAACAGCTATTTTAAAGTAAAAGCACAATACTTGTATTTTTTTTTTAGAATTTATATAGACATTCTCAATAAACATTACAGGGCCAAAAAATGATTTTTCTCAGTGTGCCTCCACAATATGTTTGATTGCGTGCAATGTAGTTCAGCCTCGTTCAGACCGAATCATGCGTTGCGTCGACTTTCAATGCAAAGTCAATGGTGACAATGAGACGGACAAACAACTGATAATTCCTTGTGTCTGCTGCTGGATTTGGTGTGTATCTGGCAACCATTTATGCCTACAGTCAGTCAAATGGGCAAACAATTCCCACACATTGTCTCTCTTATTGCCATGTTAAGTGGATTGGGTTTTCCTCTCTGCACGTTCACAGTATAGATTCCCTGCTCCCTCTCCTCATCCATCCCCTTCAGTGTGTGCAAACCTGGCCAGCACTGTAATTCCCTCCCATCCAATTAGCCGTCCATTTCCTGGGCGCATTGTTTGCACCGATTTGCAGTCCACAATGGGAACTTGGGTTCATATTTACACAAGCAAACAATTACCACCTTAACACCCGGGCTCTACTGAGGTCCGCTACGGGTGACCTGCCGTTGTGTCGTTCTGGTCAAAATCTTAAAGGCACAGAGCTGAGGTAAATGCATGATAACTCGTCAATAGCTTCCATGGCGTGAAGCTACTCCACAATGCACAGAACCCATCACTCATCCATAGAAAATGTCAAGCGTATGCAATAAGCCTATAGTTTTTCATATGCAAATTCACAGCTTCTAATCCTCCATGATCACATATTTGCATGCTGTTCTGGAATTTCCTTGCAACGCCCACCTCACTTGCAAACACACACACGAACCCTCTCTCTCTCACTCACACACAGACACACACACACACACACCTCCACTGCACTCCAAACCTCCAACCTGCCTTTCATGGAACAAAACAAAGATGTTTACACGACTCGCTGCTGCAGCCGGGGTGAGATATCCGAGCACGAATGGAAATGAGACACGGACAAAAAACTCTGCAGCTAATCCATTTTATATGCATATTCACATGCTGTCATCAGTATTAATGTATCTGAATAAAATGTCAAGGCAATCCTAGGAGATTTGAAACCGAGGTATTTGACAGTGCACCTCCGAAAGGCAAACAAGTAAGTTAGGAATCAGCTACATGCCTGTGCCTCTCAGGTTTGATTTGAGTTCAGACCAGGGACTTACCTTATTATTCATGTTTTGAGACTGATGTGCATGTGTGTGTGTGTTGAATTGGATCAAATACTAGCTTTGCCTAGAGAAGGAATTGTAACTAATTGAGTAGCACAAATATAATAATAACAATAATTTATCGGTTTTATATAGCGCTTTTTTGGACACTCAAAGACGCTTCACATGTCATTATTCTTTCACTCCATACACTGTGGTGATAAACTACTACTGTAGCCAAAGCTGCCCTGGGGCACACTGACAGAAGCGAGGCAACCAGTATGTGCCACCAACCATTCACACACACACCAGACTTATCCCTGGCAATGGGGGTAAAGTGTCTTGCCTAAGGACACAATTATAGAACTCAAAGAAGGGTCTAGATGATTCTGTGCTACTTCAGTATTATGACCTAATAAAACCTCAATATATCTTTGCCAAACCACCAATTTCCCAGTTTACGTGTCGGTTTATCTGGTAGCTTTCATTGACTCAAACTTTTACCACCAATGGCAGGGGGTGCTCAATACATCAATCACAATCCAAAGGGTGGGTAACTCAAATGAGGCTTGCAGGCTTACACCATGCTAACTTGCATTCCTGAGTGCACACAATTAAAGCTGCACTAACTGACTTTGGGATTTTGAAGCCACGGACTCGCTGGCCTCGCTCTTTCTGCTCCCCTCCCCGCACCCACGAAGCTATCGCCCCCCACACACACACAGTGTTGAGACGGAGCTAGCTTCTCCCAATATGGATAATACATGGATATGGATTTGCACGTGGATGGCGTGACCATAGAACGATAGAACCGGGAAGCGCGGAGGAACGAGACTTTCTTTTGGATGGCTGTCTCGCTGTGTAAGCAGTACCCGGTGACGAAGAGACGAAGCTTCAGGTTAGCTCCGCCACTTGTTGTGCTAACTCAGCCGTCTATGCTAACGGAGACCTGTAGATTTCTCACAAAAGTGGGGGCCAGTGGTCCGCGGTGATTGGTCACAATCTGCGACCCGAAACACATTCTCTTCCTTGTTTCATCAAAACTCGATCTAAAATATAATGTCACGCCAGCACAAATCTGCGCTACTTTTTCGTCAAAAGGACGTATATCCCAATGCCCTACACGGACATGGATAGCATTTTCGTAATTAATACAAAAATAAAGTCAGTTAGTGCAGCTTTAAGCACACAGAGCGCACTATGACATTGGCCGTGCATGAACAACGCATATAGTATAGTGGCTAAGGCCTGTTTCACACCGCACACCGAGCGCCCTTTCCAGCCGAACTACCTCGCGGCGAGCGCATGTATTCAGACTGACGCCGAGCGTGGGCGAAGCGCCTAGACGAGTAGCACGCACAAAAGGAGTAGTATTGTACTCCAAACTAATAAACATGTTGTATATTTACATATGTTGTCTGAAATAACAGGTCAGAAATCAAAATAGCACATGTAGACCTTAAATAAATTGCTAACATTTCCTTATAATGTATCTTATAGCCTATTTTGATTGTCGTTTCATTATCATAGTTAATTATAAGGTGTGGGGAAGGCCTGGATCTCCATGTGGGTTAAGGTTAGGTGTGGGGAAGGCCTGGATCTCCATGTGGGTTAAGGTTAGGTGTGGGGAAGGCCTGGATCTCCATGTGGGTTAAGGTTAGGTGTGGGGAAGGCCTGGATCTCCATGTGGGTTAAGGTTAGGTGTGGGGAAGGCCTGGATCTCCATGGGGGTTAAGGTTAGGTTATAATTATAATATATATATTATATATATATATTATTATATATATAATATATGTTACAATTATATTTTATGCATAAAAAAAAAGTATGACATGGAAAATTGTGTAATTAAAAGAATAAACTTATATGTACTTATGCATTACAATAATGAGATTAGATAAACGTGAAATTGCTTTATAAAAGTTATTTTTTGAGTATTTTCGTTCTGAAAGCCGCTTCGCTGCGCAGCCTACACGCGGAAAAAATGCGCTCGAGTTCCATTTTTGGTTTCAGGAGCGGAGGCGGCAGCGGCGCGCGCCGATTCCCTGCGCGCCGCCTCAGCGCCGGTCTGTACACAGAAGAGCTTTCTCATTTGCACAACAGGACGCGACTTGAAGCGCAGCTTGCGAATGCACGCGAGCGGGTTTCGAAGACGAATTCGTTCACGAATTCGTGTGCGGTGTGAAACAGGCCTAAGTTGATAGCGCTCTCGCTTCTCAGCAAGAAGATCCTAGGTTCAAATCTTGGTCGGAACAGGGTCTAACAAATCCTCCTGCCCATCTGTCGCTGTACTATAGCGACCACTCATGATAGACGCCTGAGTGGCATCAGGTTGGGTCAAATGCAGAGGATGAATTGCCCTACATGGATAAATGAAGTGCACCTTTACCATGTATAAGTAAATATGACAAAACATTCTACCAACTACAGTTGATGATATGAGCACAGAAAAGTCCTTGTAATTATATTTACAAGGTGAGAAACCTGTTGTAAATATCATATTGGCTTTTTATCATTCTATTTAAAATAAAAATACATGTTGTACAAGTTGTGTAAGTGCACTTGTACAAGTAGGTCTGCATGTAAAGAAAATATATATACAGTATATATTTTAGACCATAAAAGACTGTAAATGTCAAAATAGGACAAACACTTTTTACATGGGGATAATCACAAATAAACTCTCAATGGCAGCTAGCATAAGATTAAAGGATTTCTACTTCTGGGTGGATCATCAAGACTATTGGTCCTCCCAATTGTCAATTATTCTGGTGATACATGCACATCAAATAAGAACAGAGTTTTGTTAAAATTGTGGAGAGGGCGGTTCTTTCCTAACTTTTGGGAAAATCTTCCTATACGTTTAAGCAATCTTTAATCCATCCTGGAGTGGGAAAATTGCAGTGTTGCTTCACAAGTTATAGAACAGTAGGAATGAGCAGCACAAAATAAAGTATTGTGAGTGAAAAAAAGTGTAAAATACTGTATACTCTTATACAACTCAAATATATTGGTAGAAAGGTCTGTTGCACGTTCTACACACTGTACATGTTAGCAGCATGTGATACTGCTGTACATATTGCTAACGTGAGGGTATGGGCCAATTAAAGTAACATCAGACATATGTGGTCCCATTTTGCACATTCTGACAATATTGCACAATACATGGCATCTGGCGTCACGTCGGTTGTGTTCAAGTCTTTATTGTTTGTATTGCAGTCTGACAGCAGCAGGACGGAAAGACCTGTGCAACCTCTACTTCACACTGCAATTGTGGAAGTACCGCACCAGAACAGCAGAGGTTTTTACTGAAAGTTTTAGAATCAGGTTGCAAAATTAAAACTTCTCTGCAGGTTTTAGTGTCCAGAAACTGCAGTGAGGGCTGCCAAGTTGAATGTATTGTTGTAATTTCCTTCCCTGTTATAATGGCTTTATTGAGTCAGAAACTCTTTCGGGGGAGTCTATACCCCCCAGAGTGGAGCTACGCAAGTTTAAACCCCGCACAAACCTCTCACAGTGAGGTCAACAGATTACTAACCACTGATCCTTACGCCTTCAGAGCTGTAAATAGCCCATTGCGTGTTTAAATATAGCATCACTGATTACGAAAGCGTGTGGGTGGAATCGTTAGCATATAGCTTCGTCTTCATTGCCCCATCAGGACCCGACTAAGCCATTTCCTCTTCTTTCTTCCGCCCATGTCAGCGTCCCGGGGCACCAAGGTACTACATCACCGACGCGCCCGTCCCACTCCCACAAACAGTTGGCTGCGCGCTGCATTTCCGCTCGCATTTATAAAAGTCTCACAGGGCAGTGGCTGCAAACACATGGCTAATTAAAATGAGCATAATGCGCTGATTGATTAGACCAAATGAGCTCTCCATTCTACCGGTGACACTTTCAGATTTGATGATGCGTTTAATGGCCCCACAACAACTTGGGAATTTACAGTGTAAGTCGCATCTACTTTGCGGAATGTGAATGCAAAGCTGGGATACGGTTTTCTCCCTCACAACACATTTAGATTAACATAAATACAGTTAATAGTTTTTTTGGCAGTTCAGCAAGTTTGTTGAGCGGCATTGACACCACTGGACAAATAACTTTGACAAATAGCAAAAAGAAGCCATGAAGACAACAAAAAAATCTCTGAAATACAACAGTAAAATACCGACTTTTTTTTTTTTTTTTCTTTATTGGCATACTCAATATATTACAACACAGACATTCAAACACATTTGTAAATATGAACATATATAATCATATAAGAATTTACGTAGGGTCAGGAGGGGGGAGGGGGGTTCAGCGGGCGTGCGGGTGCGTGTGTGTGTGCGTGTATATGCGTGTTCACTTTTGGTGTATTGAATAGGTATCTGAGGGTGTTGATGGTTTTCTTTTATTGACCGGTAGTGAGAGAGGGGAGAAAGAAAAGAAAGAGAATAGTAATAATAATAGTAAAAACATAGGAGGAATTAAGGTGCTATAATCCTAGGGAGGGGGGTGGTCGTAATGTTGGTAAAGAGGATCGCAGAGCCATAATTGGGCATACTAATGTTTATGGTAAGTAAGAAAGTAATCTTTATCCAGGCCAGATTCACAAAGCAGTTTTCAATTTTGGGCATTAGACTTCTCACTCAACACAGAAATGGGAGCAAGGTGGTAGACAGATTAGTGGTACTCTTCCAGCAGTATCCCTGCATAATGTGTCTTGTGACTGTGTGGTGAATTAAAACAGGTTTGAGATGTTGTGCATTAAAAGCTTGAGATGCATGTGGGAAGATAACTTTTTTTTAAAAATTCAATTATTATGCAAATTGCTTTAACAAAAGAACAATACAAACGGAATGAGCAAAATACACCTAAGCAGAAGTCAATAAACATGTGTGGCACTCTGCATGGATGGAATATTTAAAGTTCTGTGTTTTTTCCTCTTCCTCCACCCCTTTCCTTTTTCACGGCATGTGTGTGACAGAGGGCGTGGGTGGCTCATCTGCCTCTGAGATGCCTTCACGCCTGCATTTTATTCACTCATCACCCTGTCTTTTAAACTCTGGTTCAGACTCAACAACTCTGTCAAATTATTTCACGCTCACTGCCGAATGCCTGTCTTTATATGTATGTTTTTTGTATATTGAAATATTTTATTTTGTATGGTGAATCCATCTACATGATGTCTCTGCCTGGAGGTCCAAAACACACGTAACATACATGGACAGCAAATGTGTTTAGACAGCAAACCACAACTACATCAGCGGAAATATGATGAATGAGCTGTACAGGTGTGTATCCGCGATCTCGTTCTTTCTATTATTACCCAAAGCTCATGACCATAGGTGAGGGGGGAACAAAGATTGACCGTAAATCGAGAGCTTTGCCGATCGAGACCCTGAGATACTTGAACTCCTCCACTTGAGGAAGGACCTCTCCACCCACCCGGAGAGGGAGGGGCACCTTTTTCCGGTCGAGCACCATGGCCTCGAATTTGGAGGTGCTGATTCTCTTCCCAGCCGCTTCACACTCGGCTGCAAACCTTCCCAGTGCATGCTGCAGGTCCTGGTTTGTCGGAGCCAACAGGACAACATTGTCTGCAAACAGCAGAGATGAAATCCTGTGACCCCCAAACCGGACCCCCTCCGGCCCCTGGATGCACCTAGAAATTCTGTCCATAAATACAGTGAACAGAACCGGTGACAAAGGACAGCCCTGTCGGAGGCCAACATGCACCGGGAACAGGTCTGACTTACTGCCGGCAATGCGAACACAGCTCAGGCTCCGGTCATACGGACTGGACGGCTCTCAGTAGAGGACCCCGGACCCCGTACTCTCAGAGAAACCCCCAAAGGACACCCTGAGGAACACGGTCGAACGCCTTCTCGAGGGAAATGTCATGGGAAAAATGGCAATGATTGAAATATTAGTCCCACAAGAGAAGAGCGAGAATCTTATTTCCTCTTTTAGGCCAAGATGACATGTTACCTTCAGAGAGTTAATCCAAGGTCTCTGCAAATGTTGTTTTCAATCTGTCCTCAGTGGCAAAGTTTGAAAAAGTATTAGACCTGTTGACATGAGAGCAGTGGTTACATATGCCACATCTGTCCTTAGGTTTTGAGAGTCAATATATATAAAATTACTTACAGTAAGGTAATATATACAAATTGTTGGTAAGTAACATTTATGGTGTATTACCCTCTCCCTGTTGCACAATTCTTGTATGGTTATTGGACCAAACAGAACAAGAACAAGAATTACTATTTTGTTTTCATATTTCTATTGTGTCGTGTTTACACGGTGTTCATTTCTTAAAGCACAGAATGCCAAACTCAATGCAAGCCCCACTTGAAACTATGGAACAAAAACACAGCACTAGATGAAGGAGAGTGAGCTATTGTTTTCAAAGTCCACATGGCTTTGAGAAATAAATTGTTTTGTGCTGTGAAGTGTTTTGACGAGCGGAACAAGTGGAGGCAGAGATTTTACTTTCATTGCTTGTTGACAAATGTTTCTATACCAATCATTTTGCTGGATATGTCGACTAAGTTCGCATGAAGAGAAGGAGGCTGAAAATATTCCCACTTGTTCAATGGTTTTGACATTTTCTTTATAACGCTACATATACATATTTTTGATTTTGAGGATGGACAAAGCCATCTCTCCTGCACCATTGAATGTTTATCAATCTATCAACAGTCCGAGTACATGGAACACCACACTTTTATTTTGAATAGTTCCATCACAACAGCTCTTGCCGTTAGACATTCCATAAAGCCTTGTTTTAAGTTATTTAATTTACGGTTTAATTCACAATTTAAAGCTGGGGTACTTAATTTTTCTGAAAGACTTTTGTAGAAGAAACATTTGTCACAAATCACAACATGCAGTCTTCATCTGACTAGCAAACATACTCATTCCTACTGTATGTAACTTGGGATGCAACACTGAAATTTCCCACTGTGGGACAAATAAAGGATCAGTATTTGCCTTGGGCTGAGAGCTGATTGGCAGAGTAAGAATAGTACTCTTCTCTTAGTACTTTTCCGCCTGTAAAAGCAGATCTAAAAAGGTGTCAGAGGCTGAAAATGCAAACCTGAGAGA